TGATGCACAAATTATCTTCCTAGGGCAGTGATGGCGAACCTTTTAGAGACCGAGTGCCCAAACTGCAACCCAAAACCCACTTATTTATCGCCGGGTGCCAAGTGGCCGTGGCCTACTGTGTGGGCGTGGCTGTGGTATTCATGGCAGATTGGGTGGGTGTGGCCAAGATGGGCGTGATCACCTCGATGGTGCTTGTGGGGAGGGATGCCTGTAGGGGCTAGGCAGGGTTGGGGGAGATCCAGGGGGTCTCTGGCAGGTGGGGCGGTGGGCAGGAGGCTAGTTCTGCGGGGATGCCATTGTCACAGGGCAAGGTGAGGCAGGGGCCAGGGCGGCTGCTGCCTGACACCATCAGCCCCCGCACACCAAGGCCAGCGAGCGCATGGGTGCTGGGATGCATCCGGCCATGTGGGGCCTCGGCAAGTTAGCGGGCAGCTGGTTGAAGAGGGACGGTTGCCATCTCCGGGGCATGGCGCGCGTGCCCACAGAGAGGGCTCTGAGTGCCGCCTCTGGCACACGTGCCATAGGTTCGCCACCACTGTCCTAGGGGTTTGATCAGTGCTAAGGCTAGATCTAGCCAAAGCTAGCTACCTTGGCAGCAGAAGGCTTAGAGGGGGCAGGGGAAATCAAAACTGCCTCGTTTTTACTGTCTGAATCAAGGATTGTTTATGGGGAGGGGGGGGCAGACATTTTCACACGCAAACGTGGCCACTGCCAAACAGAGCATGTGCAAAAACAGGGCAGCCATGTGGCGGATTGGTTCCCCCTGAGTGCTCTTGAGCAAAATATTTAGCTTTGATAGAAGAGGGTTATTTGGAACTTAGGGTTGAGCTGGGGGGTCCTTGGTACTCTCTGAGCGTGGTGGGTGTCTTGCAGAAGTTTCACTACCAAACTAAGTAACACCATCAGTGTTAGAAGGGAGGGGAGGAGGAAGAGGAGGAAGAGGAGGAGGAGGAGGAGGAGGAGGAGGAGGAGGAGGAGGAGGAGGTGGGGACCTTGGTGCCCTCTGAACTTGTTGGTTTCTTTGCAAACATTTCATTACCCAAACTAGGTAACATCATCAGTGCTAGAAGGGAGTTGGGTTTGCGAGGAGGAGGAGGAGGAGGAGGAGGAGGAGGAGGAGGAGGAGGACAACGACGACAACGACAACGACAACGACAACGACAACGACAACGACGACAACTCTGGGGTCCTTGGTACTCTCTGTGCTTGGCGATTTCCTTGCAGATGTCTCATTACCCAACTAGATAACATCACCAGTGCAGTCTGGTAATGAAACATCTGCAAGAGAACCCCCAAGCTCAAAGAGCATCAAAGACCCCACATATTTGGGCTGACAGCATACCTTGTTTTTCGATGTCCTCTTTGAGGGAGCGGGCACTTCTGATGACGGCCGTGCAAGTTTCATCTGTGGAAGCCAATGGAAGGAAAGAGATCAGTGCCCATAAGAAGCAGCAATGTTTCACCAGAAGTATACATAGTCTACAACTAGGTGACAGCATCAGTGCTGGAAGAGGAGGAGAAGGAGAAGGAGATACACGAGGAGAAGGAGATAGATGAGGAGGAGAAGGAGAAGAAGAAGATAGATAAGGAGGACAAGAAGGAGAAGGAGAAGATAGTTAAGGAGGACAAGAAGGAGAAGGAGAAGATAGATAAGGAGGACAAGAAGGAGAAGGAGAAGATAGATGAGGAGGACAAGAAGGAGAAGGAGAAGGAGAAGCAGAAGGAAGCAATTTGGTAATCAGATGCTACCCTTTTGCATTTAGAACTCAAGGTTTATGGACAATTATATTATGGTTAAAAGGAAACATTTCCGCACCTTTTTCTCTGGAGTCGTCAGCATTGGCATTGGTGAGAAAAGTAAGACCAGCCATGCGGAACACATCCACGTTGTTCTCTCCTCCTCCAGCTCCACAACCCAGGTCACTCTTTTCCAGTTTCAGGAGAGCCTGCAAAGGAGAAGATGGTGAGATTTCATCCCTTCCGTTGTCTCGTGCCCGCGTCGGTCAAAATAATTCACGACAGAAACAGGAAGGCGTGCCTGCAAGGGCACACCACGCTAAGGTGAACAAAACGAGGCCAGGGTGGTGTTGTCGATCCCTAGGCTTCCCCATCGCAAGATGGACTGTGTGCGTTCTTGCTTTCTCCCTACGTCGTAAGAGACGGGCCGTTATTTCAGCAACGTTGGAAAGAAGACCTTTTTTTATATTTATTTATTTACTATACAGCGTGGTGGGGATGTCTCCAGCCCAACCCAGGTCAGTGGGACATCTAAAGAGGCATCGAGAAAGCCAAAGGTTTTCCTTGCAACCTGACGTAACTTTTTCCATGGGTCTCTGCTTGGATCCCGTCACTCCGTAAATGGCTTTGTCCAGGGCTGAGAGGGCTACTAGAGAGTGAGACTCGGAGGTCATGGAAAGTGACACGGTTTCTCCGGGTCGGTAAACTCTCCCGTTCTTCAGGATGCGGACCTGCAAGGGCGAAAACCCCAATGGGACGTTCAAGAGGGCTGCGGGAGAGTCCAGAGTTTGACCACGGTTGGTGGAACCCAAGTATCCAAAGATGAGGTTCTACTGACCTCGAGGTTGTTGCCGCATTTTTGCTGCACGTTTAGCCAGACTGAATCGGCTACTAATTCCGCGGTTCCTTCCCCCGTAACGATGTAGTAGACCAGAAGACGGGCTGAAGGGACCATTTCTTCAGTGATATGCAGGGTCAGGCCTTGATAAGACAGGCCTTTGATCTTCTCCTGAGTCCCGTAACTGATTATTTTCCCTCTGGATAAGATCTTTTTTTTTTAAAAAAAGGGAAAACAATGACATTCAAGAATAGTAGCTCGGATAACCTAAGGGTGGGGGGAAGAGATTGTAAGCACAGAAGACAATTAATGTTGATTATTTTGTTGGCCTAAAGAACATCCAAGATGGGGCGGGATTGTGGATTAGGGTCAACCGGCAAGGGATGGAATTAGCCCGATAGTCCTTGACTTATTGCCACAATGGAGTCCCAAATTTCTGGGGCTAAATGAGACATTTAAATGAACTGTGCCCCGTTTTTACAACTGTAAACAGTTGCCACCGTTTTGTTGTAAGTCAAGGACATAAGCTAGAACAGGTATGCATTTCAGTTTTTTGGTTGTGTTTTTTCCATTTGTCCCTTTTAGGGAAAGCTAAAAATATGTTTGCAAAACATACCAGGTAGCTATAGTGTAGTATTTTATCGATATAATGGCTTGCTGGGTATACTTTGATCTGCAAGCTCTCTCCGACCTGTAAGACTCTGTAGTCTGATGCCCAGTCAATATAGAGATAGTTTCCGTTGAGAGAAATATAGGATTTTGCTTCGTAGGTTTCTCTGGCCTGGTTCTCTTCTGATAAAGAAGGATCTGCCGTTGTTATCTAGGCAAAAACCAAAAGACCACAGAGCTCAGGGATGCAGAATAACCGAGTTGGAAGGGACCTCGGAGGTCTTCTAGTGTCTAGTCCAACCCCTTGCTCAAGCAGGAGGCCCTATAGCAGTGATGGCAAATCTTTGAGAGACCGAGTGCCCAAACTGCAACCCCAAAACCCACTTATGCATCGCAAAGTGCCAACAGGGCAATTTAATCTGAATACTTGAGGTTTTCGTTTAGAAAAAAACAACTCCTACATTAACATCTTTTGCCTTAAAAGAAAAAAACACAACAACAAAGCTTTCAATTTACTGAAAGGTAAAAGTTTGCATTTGGCATGCTTTTGAACAATTAATGTGATTTTTGCTGTTGTATGCCTGCTGGTAATTTGTCTGACCTTGGCTCATACTTTGTAAGTTTGAGAGCAACACTGAAAAACTTCCAAACGCATTTGGGGTTGACCCCTTCCGATCGGAATAAGGAAATATTTCACTCACTTTGAACTCCAGCACTTTGGCGTCGGAAGGAATGGTAACTGTAAAGATGGTGGTCCCATCTCTTGAACTGGTTACGCCAGACCCGAACTCGGAGCCTTCTTGAATTAATTTGGTCTCTTCCATTTGGTCGTTGAAGGCGATAGCCGTCAGGAGCACAGGAACGTTGCCAACTGATACGTCCAACATATTCCTCACCCGTGCCTGTTTACGCAAAAACTGTCGATTATTAGCTCATCTTAAACCACGAATAATAGTAACAGAAACCATTTCCTTATTAAGCCCAGCTATCTGACCTCCAGCAAGGTACAAAGGTGTGGGGCAGTAAGAAAGACTCACAAGTGTAATAGCTAAAGTTGTTAGGTCAGGTTGAGTCAATTGCCAAGTGGATGATCTTCAATTATTTCATGGGATATTTTTATATCCCAAATATAGACCACACATGTCTCATTGGGTTGTGGTTTCAGAGATATTTCCTTTCCCAAAAGGGAGAATAACCAAAGGTGAAAAAGCAGAGAGAGCAGGAATGTCTATGGAGCATCTCAGCCCTCCAGATCAAGGGTCTTCAAATTTGGCCCTTTGATGACTTGTGGACTTCAACTCCCAGAATTCCTCAGCCAACATGGACCATATAAGCCAGGGGTCTTCAAACTTGGCCCTTTCATGACTTGTGGACTTCAACTCCCAGAATTCCTCAGCCAGCAGCATGCCTGGCTGAGGAATTCTGGGAGTTGAAGTCCACAAGTCATGAAAGGGCCAAGTTTGAAGACCCCTGCTCCAGATCACGGTGATTCTTCAAGAGGCAACTGGACTTGTTCTTCTTTGAGGGCCTTTCGCTTCTCATCCAAGAAGCTTCTTCCACATCAGGTCTCGCTAACCTTAATAAAATAAGGAAGCCCGGGTTTCATAAAAAGAGGCGTGGCAATCAGATCCAACTTGTAAGGAGACAAGGCGTACTTCACCGTGGTTAGCTCACCGTCCTCGCTGTGGCCACCTGCCAAAAGAAAGGATTAGATGTTTTCAGTTAAAGAGGACTTCCTGCATTGAGTTCTTCACTCCATCTTCCCCCTTTGATATAGAATTATAGTTGCTCAGAGTCACCTGAACTGTGAGATGGGTGATAGATAGATAGATAGATAGATAGATAGATAGATAGATAGATAGATAGATAGATAGATAGATAGA